GATGGCCATGTCACCAACCGATGGTGACACTAAACCGATGGCCAAACATGTCAGTAACTAACCTCCCAGAGGGCATGTCACCAAACCGATGGCCATGTCACCAACTGATGGTGCCACTAAACCGATGGCCAAACATGTCACTAACTAACCTCCCAGAGGGCATGTCACTAAACCGATGGCCATGTCACCAGCCGATGGTGACACTAAACCGATGGCCAAACATGTCTGTAACTAACGTCCTTCAGGCATACAAAAAGGACGGCAAAGACGAAGGCAAAAAAGCCGAACTTTTCTGAGCTACCTGAACCGACCTATAGTTGCACTTCATACTACGAAGTATCTGAAAAGGTTTCTTTTCGATGCTGGCAGCCCCCCCTACTGAGTTGCGTTGCGGTTTGCCAGACTCTTGATAGCGTCGGCGAGCACAGAGTACCCTGCATGGATTTCAGTAGCCATCCTCTCACCTCCGCGATCCCGAGCTGCCGTGTCCTTCTCCATCGCCTCGCACGTCATTTTGGCAATTCTTTCTTGTGCGGCAATCTGCTTGTCGCAGATTTCAGGCATGATCACATGGTGCTCCTTATCTGACCTGACCTGCGCAGTGGTGTGGTCGCGCATTGCTCCGCAAATAGCACCCATGGCCTGTTCCCTTGCATTAGAACCACCCCTTCGACGCTTCGCGGCCATGTTACCCTGGACTGCAGTGGACCTTGCACCAAGAGACGGACCTGCAGTGTTCGTCCCGTTGTCCTGCGGCTGTGACGACGTTCCTGAACCCRCACGATCGTCACCACCTTCTCCTGCCCCGACACTTATGTCTGCTCCGCCATCGCCCACCCCCACATTCTCAGTCTCAGCGCCGGGATCTGTGATGTCGTCCGTATTTATCGTGTCTTTGTCCTTCTCGTGCTGGTCAATAAAATTGTACCACTCTCTACGCAYTAGGAAATCCAAACCCCATTTCTTCCTTTCCGTCTGGTTCATGGTAAAGTACTTCTCGCTGCCGGACCACTTATCATGATCCTTCACAGCCTTGTAGTTGTTAAGCACGAAGTGCCACCGGTTCTTACACTCCTCGTCGGATCGGTCGTAATTCGCCTCCCTCATCAGCTTCTCTACGTCAGGCCACAACCGCTGCTTCAGTTTTGCCACCCCCCATGCTTCTGAATCATCGCCGTGAGTAGCCTTCACTTCGTACCGGCAGCGTATGAGTTTCATCGTCTCCTCCTCCCCGAATCGTGGACGAGGACGTCCGCCCCTGCCCCTACCTCCACGTCCACGACCAGGTTGTCCGCGGCCACGTTGTCCTCTCCCCGCTTCATGCCCACTCCTAACACCTCCACCTCTTGCCAACGGAGCAAGTGTGGAGGTTCCCCCACTTTCACCCATGCTCTGCGGACTGCATTCAGGTGCKAGGACTTCAGCTGCAACTGCGGCATCACCCCCAGTCGTCRGACTGCATGGCGGTGCTTGGAGTTCATGATCGTGTGAACGGGCAGCAGCTTGCGCTGTCCCACCTGCAGTTACTGCGGCGACATGCTCTGCAGGCAATCCGCCCTCCACGGCTTCGACATCCCCAAATTCGCTATCACGGATTAGCTCAACCAGAACAGATGGACGACCTTCAGATCGTGTACTCTCATGACCAGGAGCAGAGACGCCGGACCCCGTCTGCTCCGTCGAACCGGACGCAGGTGAACCCTGCGTCAACTCACATCCCGTTCCGTTGCCGGTAGACAAGGCAAGCAAGTCCRTCATGCTGCGTCGAGGCTGAGAACTGACTGTGACTGATGGCGACCCACCCCCATCAGCTGCAAGTGGACTGAAAGATCCATGACCAGATCTCCCATTGCCGCCACCAGAGGACATGTGCGTTGGGGTGGTGGGCAACCCCCCCTCGACAAGCACAACGTCCTGACGTTGAATAGGAGTGGTAATGGCAGGTGATGGTTCCTGGCTATGAACTCCCAGCAACACAGGCAGGGGTGTGTACGTGGGCTGAGGACTGCCCTGCGTCAAGTGGCAGTCCATGGCCATAGCACGTTCACGGAGCCTCCTTCTGAGAGCATCTTCATCACCCTCCGCCGAGGACACCACCATGCCATAGAGAGGACGGACTGGATTGGGAGGGAGGTGCGACGAGATAGAATCATCAAACTCCGACCCCTCGGTACACCCCCAGTCTCCAATGTACTGCAGTCCCTCTGGTTGCCTGTCTCCGGCCATTGCCTTTCACAGCTTGGGACAAGAACTTTCCTCCCTGGCCTTCGCTTGCACGAACACGAACCTTGGTGTGTGTGGCGACGTGTGTGTGTGTGTGTGTGTGTGTGTGTGTGTGTGTGCGCGTTTTGTGGCATGTATCGTTCCCAGTGTGTGTGTGTGTGTGTGTGTGTGTGTGTGTGTGTGTGTGTGTGGCATGTTGGTGGCCCATGCAGGCGGTGTAAAAAGACTCGGGAAGCACCACATTTGCCCCTCCGCGTACAAGAACTACAGCAACCTGTATTTTGCCCACGAACGCGTCCATGTACAAGGGAGTGCAAAGAAAGACTGAGAACTACGTACCTGCTGTGTGAGGCCCACGTACACACCCCTATTCGACTCCGAAACAGCCCGTATTCCTCCATGTTCAATGGTGACCACGTCAATGAATCG